GATACAGCCATCCAACAGCTGCCTTCTGGGTGCCCCAGACAGGCCCACTTGGGGCACACTAGGCGTGGTGTGGGGGAGGCTAAGGGAGAGAAGAGTCGAGTGTGTGGGATGGAGAACAAGCCACTGACTTGGAACAAAGACTGACAGGAACTAGAGTCAAGGCTGGAAGCTCCTGCTACTTCGGAGTTCCCACACCAGGTTCCTGAGCACAGAGATTTATGCCATATTTCAATCTCCAAAGTCAAGTGGGCTCAGGAAATTGTAGGAAAGTAAACATATTATTTAACCACTAGGTGGGTGGTCATCACATATGTTACATATCTGAAAATTTAAGTCGGAACAGCTTGAACCTTTCCGTATCTAATTCCCAATAGTAGTTCGAGCTGAGCTAGTATTGTTTATTAACAAAACCAAGGCTTCTTCTTGCCTCCTAAAAAGGGCAGTTAGCCCTTTGATATAAATCTCTCTCTATATATATAAATGCTTTGTTTCCAAAATCATAAGGAAGAGAGCTCTTTTTTTTTCCCCCCTAATTTAGGATTCTTTGTTTCCACATGTAAACAGAAAAAGATGCCCGGTCTGATTTTTAGAAAGCAGGTTTGCGGAAAAGGCGGTTAGAAAAATCTCATTTGTGCCTTTATATACAGAAATTTGGAACAAAAAGCACTGGTGGATCAAAGAATATATTGAATGCTAAAGGTAATTGTCATGATGACTCTGACTATAGCCACAATCAAAAGATACTAAACTCTAAACTCACAGTTGAGTTGATAACTTCTTTTTCACGTCTACCCATTATATAACAAGTCATAGAGTAAATGGTCATTTCAAGCATGATTTATCAAATTCCCACATTCACAATGAGCTGGACCTACTTTCTACATTCCACTTTTAAAAAGTCACTAAAAATTCTTTGGCTCACAGGAGTAAAATTAAACATCCTGCCATGGATAATGGTAAGTGAAATTACAATCCGCAAACTTGGGTATAAAGATTAGCCTCACTCCAAGGCATTTCCAAATAAAATAACTTCAAATGATAAACTTTTTCTTTAATATTCCTTATGGACAAAGAAATTCCAATAACAACTTTAGGAAAAAAACAACTATACTTCTATGCAGTATTAAAATAGTAAAAATATTTTTTTATCCATAAAACTACAATTATTATCAAGGGTTTACTAAAGCATTAGGATTTTAGAATCTATACTGTCTAATTTAGCATACTGTACTTCTTTGGCTAAACACATAAACTCATTATAATATCAAGACAGAATTTTTACGGCAGCAGCAGCACTCCTAAACATGTAAAAACATGTTACAGGTTATAAAACAGCAAAAGATTTTCAAGTGCAAAGTAATCTTAGATTAAAACCGGCATTAAGTTCTAATAAGCACATTTACTTACCATATAACACTAGAGATTGGACTGGTTGTTAAAAACAAAGAAGGAAAACAGAAGTAGGACACTAGAGAATAATACAGTATGTGTGTGTATATTTAAACATGTATATACGTGTATTTATACATGTATATGTGTGTATATATACATATTTTTAATATATGTAATATATTACATTGTATATATTTTAATATATAATAAAAAAAATATATATATATATATTTTTTTTAATAGAAAATTCCAACCAGGCCTATGGGAAGCAGGAACATCTCTCTCTTTCTCTCTCAGAACTGCTTTCATTTTGACCCAAATTTGCTGGCTTACTTGAAATGATTTTACCTTTTTCATCACAAATTCATTTGAAGTAAAACTGTAGAATCTTAGAAATTTAGAGTATCAAAAATTATTTATCTTAAGGGAATGGATCCCATCATTACTTAAATTTATATCCTATTTTTTTTTTTTTTGTCATTCATTTGTTAAATTTCCCAAATTTAGTCTAATGCCAACCAGAGATCTGCCTGGGAAACTTGCCTTAGCAGGCACATGTCCAGATCAAAAAATAGCCTATAGCCTATCTTATGGAAGAAATATACACAAACATTTACACATCATACAAAATAAGGTTGAAATGGGTAGGGCCACTTGATTGACATCCATTTGTTACTTTCATTGCAAAACATCCTGAGCAGCTTTCAATATGCTTAGACAAATTTAGATGAGTGGAAATGCTGACTAATGATGCCATTATCTATATACCAAATATATATGAAGGCCTGAAAATCCTGAGTCATTCATGTGAGCTACTAAAATGACAGGGGAGGAGAACCTAGAAAAATGATAATGAAATGTCATGAGAGGGCAAATTAATAAAAATAAATAGCATTCCAGATATGTAAAAAGACAATATACGCTTAGTTTTTGGGAAGAGATGTAAGTCTAGTAAACAAGGCCAAGTCTTACTAATTGCAAAAAATGCACTATGTACAGGCTTTTAGCAACAAAACTATTTTAACCATCACTAACTAAGGGTTGTTATTTTAGGAGAATGAAGTCAATACATTTGTTTTCCTAAGGCAGGCAGGGGCAGTATTGTGCTATTCATGAACTTCATTAATATTCATTAATTTTTAAAGCAGTTTGGTTAGCTTTGGCCATTATCTATGCAGATATTTTGCCTTTAAATAAAAATAATTTCAAGAACATCATTATTTAAAAACATAATTAGCATGAAATTCAAAACCTACATTTTCATTAGCAGATATTATTCACTGAAGGGTATATATGTTTCAGATAGGTCTGTTTTAATTGAATTCCTGGGGTAAAATTCTAAAAATCATAGTGACCAAAATAACCTAAATGTAACCAAAAGAAAACTGAAAATACTTTTGAAAAATGTTCAAATTAATTTCCACTTTAAAGAATACCATAGTTGACCCAATTAGCTCTGCAAACCAATTCAAATTCAGTTGTTTGACATTCTTTAGCATTTCACAGTAGACTATTTTCACCCGTCCAGCACCTTAGATCCCCAAAGATCCCAGTGCACATTTAGTGATATTTACCTTATGAAGTAACTAAATCCAGATGAGCATAGCGCTCACATCACTGTAAAAAAGAAATTGTTTCCTCATGCTTACAGCTCCCATTGGGGAACTAGAAACTGAAAACTCTGAAAATTATCTTTGTGCAACCAGGAAATTGTGGACAGAAATGGAAAATAGTTTTATTTGTAAATAAGCCCAACCATGGAAACCATATACTACCTTGTTCTGCAAAAGTCCTCTAGCCTTTTATACATCAGGTTTTTTATACTGACAGATGAACAACCAGGGCAAGTAATTCATGCATGTGGCGTTGGAAATGGAATCCTCCACATGTCTTTGTGGATTCCTGTCCACACAGAGGTACAACCATGTTGAGTAGTACTCTGTGGATTATAAGAAAATAAATAAATAAAAATTAAAATGCCACGCAAAGAAGTTTAAATAATGCAGGGAAATTTTTGAGGCATGGCCAACTGGAAAATTCACTGTAGTGAATAGCTAAACTTTCAAGAAAACACATTTATTTGTGTTGGTTTTTTGTTGTGTGTGTGTGTGTGTGTGTGTGTGTGTAAAGAACTCCCTGCTCCATAACTCCATTTCAATTAGTTTGATTTGTGTTTGTCAAAAGTATCTTCTAGTCGCTGAGAAATACCTGAATGGCATTTTCTTTAGATTTTGCTTTTGGCTTTTTGTTTTTGTTTTGTGTTTAAGGTAAGCTGGCCCCTTGGGACTAGTACAGTTTTTTTTTTCCTGTTAAGGACATTTTGAAAAATAGGGAAAAGTGTCTTCCTTCTTGTTATCAGAGATACATGACTGTATACATAATTTTTTCTAAAAACGTGGTTAATAACAGCCAACAAACAAGAAGAGTAAATGGAGCACCTGGCTTCCTAAATGGATTAAACCTGCCCCACAATATCCTCCTGAGATAATGGGTAATATTCTCTTTGGAGACATTATGCACTTTGACTTATTTTTGAAGAATAGAAAAAAATTTTCCTGCCCCCCAAAGTGGATAGATTTCCAATTCAAGGCAGCAAGCCTTGGGTCGCCTACTTTAGGTATACCCAACCCTCTCAGCCGCCTACACCTGACTTTACATTAGGTGGGGGATACCAGCCATCCTCGAATGCCCTTATGCGGCCTTTCAAACTAGATACAAAGTTAATATCAGCGTCTGAGCTTCCAGCTCCTCCAGGAAAACCTGTGGCCCCCAAGTGGCACTGCTTCATAAAAGCCTAGTCAGGCCTTGTCCTTTCCAGCAGTCCAAGCAGGATTGATCACGGATAAAAGTACGGAAAGGAAAGGGTTAATCAGCATCCTCCTCTCTCCCTCCTCCCCCAAAGCTGGGCGGGGGGTGGGAGGGGGTGCCGCGCTGGGAGCATCTCAGCGGGGGAGCAACTGGAAACCACAAACACCCAAACTGGGTAGCAGCAACTTGAACTAAACCCGAGACCTGGCTTAGGGAAAGGAGTCAGTTAAGTTTAGACCGAATGGTTTAATCAAGGTATCAGAACAGACCCATTAAAGACAGAAAAGGTAGCACATCCCTGCCCTCAACTCGCAAGGATTTCTTTTATGTTGCAGTTGAAGCCTCAAAACACATTTTATGACCCTAATGCCCTTTATTCCGAAAGATCTCAAGAGGTGTCTACAGAAATGTCCGGCAGGAGTGCAGAAAGAGCAGTGGGAGTGTAGAAAGCCCCCCTTCCAGGGCGTCTTTACTTGGCCCGCGCTTCCAGGTAACCTTTGTTGCGTGGTTGGGGGACGCAAAGCGACAATCTTGGCCCCTGACAGTGCAGGATCCAAACCCACGACAGGCGAGAGGCTGCAGGACCAACTCGCCAGCCCCAGCCCCCTACCCACCTACACCGCGCCCAGCTCCAACCGCCCGCACGCCCCTCCGCAGCCCCTTCCCCACTGCCCACCCCGGGGGCTGCCCCTGATCTCCCCCAGAATTCCCACAGGCGCTCTAAGCGCCCACCAGCAAATTTCTAACAGCCCCAGCCTTCCAGGAAAGAAAAAAAAAAAGACCATGACATCACGGGCAGGTTTATTTGGGTTTGTTTGTTTGCTTGTTGGCTCGATTAAATACTCGTAGAAGGTGAACGTACCCCACACAGGAGAAGTTTGATGTTGACAAACTTCTGGTGGCAGCGAGACTGTGTCAGCACAACTTCCGGGATAATGAGAGCTGCTTTGCAGGGAGCGCGGCAGCGGCGGCGGGAGGCGGTCGCAGGACGGAACAGCAAATGCTATTCAGCCCGAGCAGTTTCAAGCCGCCCGAGCTGGGGAATTACTGTAGTCGAGCTACGGCTCTTACCACCGGCGCTGGATCTGGGCGCACGTTAGGGGGGGAAGCTGCAGGCACAGGGCGCCGAGAGGGGAGCTTTCAAGTTACTTTGCTCCATCCCTGCACCCGGCAGAGGCTTGCAGGCTGCGTGGTAACTGCAAACATCTTGTTCCCTGCTTCTTTGGGCGGCCTCCCTGGAACCAACCAACTTTTCTCTCCTCAAAAACTCCCTCTTTGTTTCAAATAGGACTCTCCAAAATTTATTCTTGGGAAGACTGACAGCCGGGGTCAAGAAACAGCTGTTGAAGTTAATGTTTCTTCCTCCCACTTCGTCTGATGGTTGTGCCCTGCCAAGACAAAGTGAGAGGCACTGCCTGGTGGCTCTTTAAACAGACATGCATTTAGCCAAAAAAAGGGGGGGGGGAGTGTGTGTGTTGAGGGGGTATATTTTCCTGCTTAACATACAATCTGATCAGAAATGCGACAGCATGTGCCTTTCAACTTGTGCTGATTACTTGCTGAAAAGATGTTGCAGCTTTTAGTTTTGAACACTTTGAGCAGTGGGGGCAGGGATGGCGGGAGATGTGGTTGCCACTTTTCATGCTTTGGCAAAGGGGCAAAAATTTTAAACCTTCCTCTCACCCACCTCTTACCCTCTAAGAATGGTAGAATGGCCTGGGGGAGGGAGAAAGAGTGGCATTCCTTTGCAAGGTTTAATTCACATTTCAGAATTCAAGTCATTATGCAGAACAAGGGCTTGCCTGGAGCTAGGCAGATTGTTTTTATTTGGAGACCTAGGCCAAACCTGGCCCGGTGCTACCAGCTCTTGGTGGCGCTTGGTGGCTTTCTCCAGATTAGGCCTGTCTCCTCTTCCCTTTCCCAGCACTACTACTTTTGCCTTTGCTCTGGGGATATACTCTGAGGGAAGCTACCCTCTTCTTTCTGCTTTCTCCGTGAAGATTGGTTAGCACAGCCCTTTCCCTGCTTGCTCTGCTTTGTGTAGAATGCCCAGTGGACTGCTGAGGGACTCCTTGGGGTTGTCCTCCGGAGTCTCAATCCCCTAACTGAGCCCTCCCCAGGTGTCCAGCCTCCGCAGTGGGAGTGGGTGGATGGGAACTCTGTTCCTTCCACATCAGAAAGCTTAAGCACTCTTCCAGCATACCCATTCTCCTTTGGGAATGCTCCAATCACTTGGCCTCTCTCAGACACAATCATATGAAGACATAAAAGGCCTTCCTTCCTCACCGCCAGGTTATCCTGTCACCACATCGCAATGCAGTGCTATCACAAAGTGATATTGCATCAGTCCCAGGGATATTTTAGGAAGCTCTCGAGCTAAGTCCAACAAGCCTTTCGTGCAGGCATCAGGGCCACCCTGCCAAAATCAGGGCTGCGGAGCTGCGGGACAGGTGGTAGTGATGTCTTCTCTATTCTCAGCTCCATTACCCACTTACCCGCCCCCCCCCATTCTCCTAACCAATCAGATCCACTTGGTAGCTTCCTCACCCCTCTCTTTACCTTGCTCCCAGATGCCACCACCTTTGTGTTCCCTCATAGCTCTCCGCAAAGTGTTCAGGTCCACCTTGTGATGTATTTCCCATTTTTTCTGCCTGTCGTGGTCATTCTCTGAGATCTTAATTAGTATTTGTTCTTATTAAGTATAAATGGACTGAATTACACATGGAGTTGCGCGGGCTGCTCCACACACAGCCTCTGGCTTGGGTGTCTGCCGGCCTCCCTGGCTTGTTTGACCTGGGTCAACTTGTCTTATTCTCTCAGACTCCGGGTTGCCCAGCTGGGCTGGCACAATGTAGCTGCCCAGAGTCAGTGCAGCACCCTCCCCAAGTACCCCCTTCTTGGAGTCCTGCTCATGCAATCCAGCAGCCAACTGACTGAAATTCCTTCTGCTTTATTGTTCTCTGTCCTTAGAGAGGCCAACTCTCAGCATAGAATGGGGCTGTGAGGCTAGACCTCCGCAGATCCTGAAGTGGTAATTCCCCACTGCTGGCTCCTGCAGTTTTATAACTCCTTTTTTCCGAGACTGACAGACATAAACCTCCAGTGTAGAGGCCTGCAACAGCACCCTAAAAGACTTCTTTGTGTGGAAATGTAACCTTAGGGCAAAGTCAGCCTCACTCTAGGAAAGGCACATTCTCCTGCTACAGGGAAGCACTGGGCTGGGAAAACGCAAGGATTTCTCCCGAGATGACTCCCGAGAGCCTCTCAGGGACATTTTTATTTACTATTTTTTAGTTTGGGGGTGGGTGGGTTGGGGCATTGGAAATACTGTAAGTGGAGACCTGTAGTGGCTGTCCAGGGAACTCACATGCAATCAGAGGAATCAGATGTCTTTCCTTTAGGGGGTGGGTCTCTAAATGCAATCACTCCCGAAGCACCCACACACTCTCCAGGTCAGGATGTCCCCTGGTGGGGTGGCAGTTAGCATCATTTGCTACTCTTGGAGCTAATGCTACCTTGCCTAAATGGAATGCCTTTGGATCACTTAGAGAATCTGATATATTTATGTAGGTGTTGGGTTAGACAAATTACTCCAAAAAGCAAGGGTGAAAAGATACAGAATCTTAATTTATCATGCAGGATTAAAGGCAGATTTAAATCAGGTAGAATTATTAAGGGATTTAGAGCCCAAGTCATTTTCCAAAGAGGAAAAAGGACTAAAGCATCCTCTTTGTTGAAATAACGTCAAGAAAGTAGCATCTTATGTTTGGAGGTTTGGTTGTTGTTGTTGTTTTTTAATCTACCTTTTAAATGTTTACTTATATTTTCTATCAGTCAAATAGAACAGTACTAGGAAATTCGGTTATCAAATGTATATGATTAGGCATTAACTATTCCATATAGACAAGCACAAAAAAGGTGAGATGAAAGTGTGCTCTTGTCATCACAGAGAGCTCCCTGTAGGAACTGAGCCAGTGCCTTGATTAAGGGATAGGTAAGATATAACTAGTTAGAGGAGATGAATCTGGAATCAGGGAGGTTAGAAAGATAACCAGTATAGTTCCTATGGAATTTAGTTGAGATGTTCAGTCCTGTAGCCCCAGGAACTGGAGTTATTAGGATAGAGAGTTTAACACAATGCTTTTAGTCAATGTTTTTGAAAAATGTATTCTCACAAAGTCAAGAACATGGATAGTGAAGGAAATGTTCACAAGGAGATGTTCTTAGTGTTTGAGATTACAGAATGTGGACAGAAATAAAAATACACAATGCAATTATTTTCCCTTTTCCCTTTTCCTCCTAAATCTAGACAGAAGTTTAATTCAGGATTAAAAGGCCCATGGATCTCCTCTAGCTTCTCCTTCAGTTATCCCATCCATACTCCAGTTCTGGTTTTGGACAGAGCTACAATAGTCCTTTGTAGGGAATTACATGAACTCCTGTGCTAGTTTTCTAATGTGGGAAAATGTCTACTAGGGAGGATAAGACCACCAAACTAGTTTCATTATGACCCAAGGTACACTTAAACCTAGCCCTTCAGTGGTGGGCAACTGGCCCAGCACAGTCTTCCTCTATAGTGCTCATTAAAATGTTATTTACATTTTACAGTATGGTCCCAAGCCATAAGTTGGGATTTTATCTTGGCAAATAGAGAAAGAATACTCTTGTGATATCTGGTCTTGCAAAGTTTTAACTTCTACTATGGACCTGCTGGTGATTTGCAAAACAAAGTCATAGCATATTGAAAGAATCTTCCATTTCAGTTCAAAATTGTTGGCCAGGAAGTGAAGAATAAAAGAAAAACCCATGATCACAAAATTAAACTTATTAGCCAAATAGATTTTAACTTTTGCCTCCTCTTAAAAGTGAATTTAATATTTGCCAAAAGCACACAATCAACAACTCTGAAGAAAATAAACTTTATACTTTGGTCCTGAACCTACTGCAAAGGTGGTGAGCTCATTTTCATAACTAACCTCCATCTTTTTGCCTTGGAACTCTCATTCGTGTGACCAGAATTATTCCAGATCAAAAACAAAATCATTGGGGCACCTGGGTGGCTCAGTCGATTAAGTGTCTGCCTTTGGCTCAGGTCATGATCCTGGGGTCCTGGGATCAAGCTCTGCATCTCTGCACTGGGCTCCTGCTCAGTGGGGAGTCTGTTTCTCACACTCCCTCTGCCTGCCTCTCCCCCCTGCTTGTACTCTCTGTGCCTCAAATAAATAAAATCTTTAAAAAAAAATCATTAATCCCACTTTTAGGTGAACCAAACTGTCTGGATTCTTACCTTAACAGGCCAAGTTAATTTAACATTTTAATGATGTGTTTCTGGCATTGTTCATGCTTCATAAAGAGTAACTCACTTTATTTGACTCAGGGCAACAAGGCTAAACAAGTGATTCAAAAAAATGAATCTTTTCCAGGTTTGGAAATTAAGTTTCCTTGAGTTCTTCTGAGACAACAAAGATTCTTCAGAATCTATAAGTCCAACTATATGATGCTACCACCTTTTCAAGACAACCATTAAGAATTACATCTAGATAAATAAAAACTTTAAAAAAAAAAAGAAAAGAATTACATCTAGAACCAGTTTTGAGAATAATGTTTCGCAACATTCTCATGAAGGCCAGATGAAAATCAGAGGCCATCTCTAAAATGGCATTAGGCCAAACATCAGACTTCTAGAGATGCTGGACATCTTGCCATGTGTCATCACAATCAAATCCTGGATAGGGTATTCTCATCTGAGTTTCACTGACTACCAGTAAGGGGCATGTGCAGAATAATAAGTGATTCAACTTTAGTCTCCAGTTAGAACCTAACATGCCTAATAACATTCCAGGGAAATGGGTGTTGGGAATGTATATCAAAGATGGCATAAGCCCTTCACTCTCAAAAGCTTGGTGATAACCAGGTGGGGAGCCACCTTAATTCTGTGGTTTATAAAATTCTAGGATTATTGTGATTACTATTATATGGAATTCTCAGCTGAAAACAATGAGCCCTTTCTCAGTTGCATGGTGAACAATGAGGTCAACTACAGAGGATTTTTTAAAAGCAAAATTTAGAGGAAAGAAACAACTTCACTGACACAAGAGAGCTTTTGTTGACTAACAGCAATCTCAGACCTTGACAGTTACACAGTACCTTTTAGGTTCCAAAGGTACTTACCCCCCAAAAAGATCATAATAATATAACATTTTCTCTTTTGCCTAATCAACAGGTGAAACCAGAAGGTGTCTTCCCATCTCTGTTTAAAGAAGTCATGTGCCAGTCTGCAGAGAAATGCATGTATACACAGGGAGTCTTCAAATTTATATCAAAAGGCTTCCAATGTCATGCATCTAATTACATTCCAAATATCTAAATATAAATATAATCATGCAATTATCTAAATATGATAATGCAAATTAATAAATGCCATCACTTTTCAGCACTGCACTGGCAGTTGACTTTTTTTTCAGGGCCATTTCTACAAAGAAGCCAAGTTATTATCTTTTCTCAGGATTTATTGCAGATGTGACGATTATAGAGAACCATAAGATTTTGCTTAAGATGTGAATACCAGGTGGATGGCTGAGCCCACTCACTAATCAAGTGATTTGTTCTCAGACAATAATGTTTGGGATTCTGATGCTTGCCTCAGCAAAACTGCAGATTTTTTTTTCCCATAGACCTTTGAGGTTGTCCATAAGTCATTGTTATGTTCAATGCCAACTCCTCACATTCTCAGAGATAAAGAGGGCAAAGAAGGAGAGAAAGAATGTGTAGCTCATTATTCACAAGTTATTTTCCTATAATTTAGGATATTGAGAGTGCTTTTTAGAAAATTTTCAAGGCAGTGACTCCCAGACATTTTCTATTAAAAAGGGCTACTTCTGCGTTTCAAAAGTGGAGGATATAAGAAGCAGTTTGTTTTCACTCTGCGACAAGGGAAGGGACCTAAATAAGTTGTCTTGTATTTCATGATGACCACAGTAGTGAACTAAAACCAGTTTTTTTCTCTATTCAATTCTTCTGTGATATTATTTTGCAAGATCATACATATAATAGACTTTGCCTAAAAGATCAAATGATTTTTTTTAAATGTACACTTTTTTAAAGTTTTTAACTTTCCTGGAAAGACTCACAGATCCAAGCTAAACTCTAATGATAAGGTCACACTTTCCCTGTATTTTAAGGAGTTCTAAAGAACAAGTTGGTACAATTAAGTGGTAAATATTATGGCACACTACATTATCACTATAGGTTATGTTATATAGCACATATAAAGCACTTTTATTCTAGATATTGAATATGCCATACAAAGTGACTCTGTAATTGAAGTATATCAACAGCGAATTTTTATTTTTTTAATTTTTTAAATTTTTTTAAAGATTTTATTTATTTATTTGAGATAGAGTGACCGAGAGAGAGGGCACGAGAAGGGTGAGAGGAGGAGAAGCAGGCTCTTTACTGAGTAGGGAGCCTGCCATGGGGCCTGATCCCAGGACCCTGAGATCATGACCTGAGCCGAAGGCAGATGCTTAACTGACTGAGCCACTCAGGCGCCCCAACAGCAAATTTTTAGAATTTTGTTGAGCTAACTTCAGAATCCAAAGCACCTCTGATTATTCACTGCTTAGGCAGAAGAGAGGCAGAAGAGAAAGTGCTACTCTGTTTATGTGTTTCAACTCTGCCCTAAATGGATTATTTCCAGGAGTGAAAAGGAAGACCAAGCCTACAGAAATCTTGGCAACTGCTTTTCCAGGAAGACTATAGAGATTTCATGGATCTTACTGTTGTTTACAAGGAGGTATTACCTTTCTCCAAATTCCATTCATACAGCTGGTTTTCTCTTTTCTCCTGGAGGTAAACTTCCCAGTTAATATACACATTGATCAGTGCCATGCCAAACATCTCTTCCTTCCACGTGTAGCAGGTGACAATTAGCCCATAATCTGCAATGAGAAAGGAGTGGATCATAAAAATTAAGAGCAGGCTCTAGAGTCACAAATGCTGAATTCAAATTCTGATTCTGTCCTTAGCAGCAGTGTAGCCTTGAGTCAGTGTCAGGTTCCTCATTCACTAAAACGGGGCAGAAGAGCAAAAAATACAAACCCCACTGTTCACCATCTCATTTCATCAGTATCCCCATCAAAAGCCCCCTGAAGCCCTCGCAAGATCTGAATGGAGCTCTAACTGGTTTTTGGACAAATGTATGACTTTATCTTCCTATGTAGAATGAAGAGCTGCTTTCTTCTCTCAAGATTAATATCTATGCTCAATTATGACCTTCATCTAATGTTTGGACCCACTGAATTCTAAGCAGGAGCAAAGACTCTGAAAACTTAGCTAGTCAATTTCTCCACCTTGGCACAATTGTACTATCTTGCTCAGACCTTGGTCACTGATGACCAGGTGCTGTTGCCTACTTCATTCAGTGAGGAGCTTCTTACCTTCTCAACTAAACTGTTAACTTCTTGAGGAAAGGCTCCAGTAGTCTTATAGATCCTTATATTCCTCTGAGCACTAAGTATAGCACAGTATCATGAAAATAACAGATTCTCAGTAAATGTCTGTGGCTTGATTATTTTGAGACTGAGCTCTGGGGTGTTTATAACAAAACAGGTTCATATTGAAGAATCCCATTATGCCCCTTCAAAATGGGCCTGTGAAAGCTCTTTCTGAGAGTACGCTGTTTGGACACACTAATGTAGTGATAGTCCATTTTTCTTTTTCAACCTCTGGCCATTTCACAGCTGTATTAGTTAAAAGATATTTTTAATTGGCTTTCATCATCTTTGAAAGTGTAATAAATACTCATTAAAAACAAGGCTACTGGGCGCCTGGGTGGCTCAGTGGGTTGAGCGACTGCCTTTGGCTCAGGTCATGATCCCAGGGTCCTGGGATCGAGCCCCACATCGGGCTCCCTGCTCTGCGGGGCTCCCTGCTCGGCGGGAAGTCTGCTTCTCCCTCTCCCACTCCCCCTGCTTGTGTTCCCTCTCTCGCCGTGTATCTCTCTGTCAAATAAATAAATAAAATCTTTAAAAACAAAAAAAACAAGGCTACCAAGATGAGCATTCCTCCTCCACCACACACCTATTAGAAATGACTGCTAATAGTTAGAGTATACTTTTCCAAGTTGTTTTATTAATTTATATTTTTGATGCATACACTAACATTTATTATTATTTCCTGGACACATTGTTATGCTATTTATATCTTTTAGAACTTGTTTTTTTCATTTAACAATGCATTGTGAAATGTTTATCCATGTCAACATACACCTCATTCCTTTTTAGTGCTGCATTATATAGAAATTTCTTGTTTTCCAGCTATTCATTATCATTATCTGAATTACAGTAGTTGTTAAGTTGTGTAGAAAAGCAAAAATTGGTCATAACAAAAAAATATCCACTAGTAAACTGACCACTTACTAAATTAGTTCCCACTTAAATAGCCCTCCTGACTTATTACCAGCATCTCTCCCCAACAAGTCAGTCAATTTTGCTGATGGTAGATGTTATAAACATCTGACAATACAATGTAAATAAAATGCATTTCAGTGGCCATGTAAGATTGCTAATCTTGCAAAAGATGCAGAATTTTATGAAGTCATTGAAAGCGATTTTGGAGAACTGTTCCATAGGCAAATGAGTATCTGGCAGTGTTAGACCAGTTAACAATTAAAGATGAGAAAAACAACAAGGATGATAAGAGGATAAATTCTTCAAAAGGAGAATTATTTGAATATCAAAGGATTAAGAGAAGCTCTCAGGAAAATTGATGAAGCCTTCACATCTTTTTTCAAAATGACCTTTGTATGATTCTGCTATAAAAGTCAGCATGAAGTGAAGGGTGTCAAAATTTGCTATCATATAATTTTGCTGGGAAAATTATCCCCCTCACCAAATCAACACTTGATTCATTCTTTGTTTATTCTAAAAATTAGAGCATTGTTGCAATTAGAGTTGTTACATGTGTGTCTTCAAAGATAAATCACATTTAAAGATAAGATAATCTTTTATTTTTTCAAAACAAAGTCTCAATCAAACCTTTTTTTAAAATTCTTTATTATACAACGGTAGACCCTATTTATTACTTTTGCAGCTTTCAACAGTGATATTATGGCAAACAGAAGCAACAGACGCTGAAAATAAGGCTTCTAATAGACTAATCAGATTCCCTAGTTCTCTCTCTGTGAGGCATTTAGAAGCAGGACTGGCCACTTTGCAAGGAGTAAAGCCCCAGGGTGGTTGGGTAATTCAGGGGAGGGAAGAGGCCTTAAGAAAGGAGACAGGCAGTGGACTTCCTCTGGCACTAATCGGGCACATAGATGTTCGGGCCTAATGAAATTTGAAAAAAATAAAAACGATGTAACCTTATTTGTGTCCAAGCTGGTAAAGCAAGTTATACCAGTTAAATGTGGGTATATCAGGATTTATTTTTAGCAGTTACCTACTGACTGATATTTGGGTTGTTTCCAATTTTTTGCTACTATAAGCCACGCAGCAATGAACAACAGTGTACAGTTATATCTTGGTACACTTGTACAAGCATCTCTGTAAAAAAAAATTCCTAACTCCTAGGGTTGGAAAAAGGTATATTAAAAATGTTAACAAGCACTAAGTAACAAATCCTCCTACCATTTAATGCCACCTACAGTATCTGAGAATGCCAGTTTTTCCATACCCTTCACAACGAGACTATTATCAGTTTTTGCCAATCTGACTGCTATATATATTGTTGTTTTCATTGTCAATAATATAAATTCTTGATGTGCAAGATATAAATTGTTCACTGACTGCTTAGAATCTTTAGGAAGAGCCTCATTATAGACTCTGGAAAATCTGCATGATAGATGCAGGGGGGAGATCATCTTATCTCTGGTAATGGGTAGGAGCTAAAAAATTGAGCTCAACATGGATTTTTTCTGTTTAAAAATCCCTTTCTGAAACAATTGTAGTCATTGCTTACACAAGCTAAAGTGTTTATAGTCAGTAGTGGAAGACGTAGATAATAGTTTTTGCAAATTCCTGATTTCAGGACTGTGAGATCTTTTTTTTTTAAGATTTTATTTATTTATTTTGAGAGAGAGAGAGAGTGAGTGTGAGTGGGGGGAGGGGCAGAGGCAGAGAGAGAGAGAGAATCTCAAGCAGACTCCATGCTGAGCATGGATCCAGACACGGGGCTCGATCATGAGACGACCTGGGCCGAAATCAAGAGTTGGACACTCAACCGACTGAGCCACCCAAGTGCCCCAGGACTGTGAGATTTTTTTACAGATTTCAAAATATGAGACTTGATAAGGTCAGTAGATCCTGAAACTGGATGCTTGGTGTCATCCAAGCCCACACTCTTTCCATCAGGATTTTGGTCACAGAAAATGTCAGCATTCTAACTGAAAAATTATTACATATATTCAGGACCTAAAAAAGAAACAAAAAATACCCACTAGAGTATGCATTTGTCACAACCCATCAAATTGTAGATTAAGATGTGTGCATTTCACTGTGTGTAAATTTTACATAAAAAAGAACCCATAAAGTCCTCAAAAAATTAAATATAGAATTACCATATGATCTAGCAATTCCACTTCTGGGAATATACCCAAAAGAAGTGAAAGCAGGGACTTGAACAGACATTTGTACACCCATGTTCATAATAACAGCATTATTTCACAATAGGCAAAACATGGAAGCAACTCAAGTGTCCGTCAATGGATAATGAATAAACAACATTTACTATGTACATACAATGGAATATTATTCAGCCTGAAAAAGGAAGGCAATTTTGACATGCTGCAATGTGGATGAACCTTGAAGACATTACGCTAAATGAAATAAAAACATAAAACAACAAGTATTGTATGATTTATATGGGTACCTTGAGTATTCAAATTCATAGGGACAGAAAATAGAATGGTGGTTGCCAGGGGCAGGGGGGAAAGGAAGGGCGTGAGGGGTTACTGTTTAATGGGTACAGAGTTTCAGTTAGGGAAAATGCAAATTCTGGAGATAGACAGTGGTGATGTTTGCACAACTATGTGAATGTACTTAATGCCACAGAATGGTATACTTCCAAATGATTCAAATGGTAAATTTTATGTTGTACATATTGTACCACACTAAAACAATTTTTTTAAACCCATAAGCAAATACTGAATTCTAAAGATTTTATTTACACAGAGAGAGAGACAGCTAGAGAGGGAACACAAGCAGGGGGAGCGGGAGAAGGAGAAGCAGGCTCCTGGCCAAGCAGGGAGCCCAATGCAGGGCTCGATCCCAGGACCCTGGGATCATGCCCCGAGCCAAAGGTAAGCACTTAATGACTAAGCCACCCAGGCGTCCCAGCAAATATTGAATTCTAATGCTGAAGTGTTTGGGAGGTGAAATGCACTAATGTCTGCAACTTTTTTGAAATGTATCAAAAAATGAATGTGAAGGGATAGGTTGATAGAGGAATGAATGCATATGTGTTAAAGTAAATATAGCAAAAAGGGGCACCTGGGTGGCTCAGTCGTTAAGTGTCTCCCTTCGGCTCAGGTCATGATCCCAGAGTCCTGGGATCAAGCCCCGCATCAAGCCCCGCATCGAGCCCCACATTGAGCCCTGCATTGAGCCCTACATCGGGCTCCCTGCTCCGCGGGAAGCCTGCTTCTCCCTCTCCCACTCCCCCTGCTTGTGTTCCCTCTCTCTCTCTGTCAAATAAATAAATAAAAATCTTAAAAAAAAAAAAAAAGGTAAATATAGCAAATGTAAATTGCATAATCTGGATGATAAAGGTATAGGTATTCTCTGTGTCATTCTTTCAACTTTTCCATATGTTTGAAAGTTTTCTGGGGCATCTGGCTGGCTCAGTCAGTAGAGCATGTGACTCTTAATCTCAGGGGTTGTAGGTGTGAGCCCCACACTGGGTGTAGAGATTACTTAAAAGTAAAATCTTGAAAAAAAAAAGA